TAGCCCTACATTTGGTTTCTGGTCATGGAGCTTATGTATCTGTTAAAAGTGGAGCATTTTAAGTCCGCTTTCGACATTGGCTTTCTAAAATGCAGCCAGCGTGTCTGGTCCGCAAGCCAGACTTCATGAGTGCTGCTAATATCCCTCATGACAGAGCCTTCTTAAATGTTATTTTTCCATTACAGTTCACATTCAATATTATTTGGATTAGTTCCAGGCGTACAGCACAGTGGTCAGACAATCATATACTTACAAAGTGTTCCCCCAATATCTCCAGTGCCCACCTGGCACCACACATAGTTAATACAATATTACTGACCAGATTCCCTAGGCTGTACTTTACATCCCCATGACTTTCTGTAACTACCTACAGTATTTGTATTTCTTAATCCCTTTACCTTTTTACCCAGTCCTCCAACCCCCCTCCCATCCGGCAACCATCAGTCTGATCTCTGTATCTATGAGTCAGTTTCTGTTTTGTTTGTTCACTTATTTTGTTCTTTGGATTCCACATATAAGTAAAAACATAGGTGATTTGTCTTTATCTGACTAATTTGACATAGCATAATACCCTCTAGGTCCATCTATGCTATCGCAAATTGTAGGATTTTATTCTTTTTTTAAAATATATATATTTTATTGATTTTTTTTACAGAGAGGAAGGGAGAGGGATAGAGAGTTAGAAACATCGATGAGAGAGAAACATTGATCAGCTGCCTCCTGCACACTCCCCACTGGGTATGTGCCCGCAACCAAGGTACATGCCCTTAACTGGAATCGAACCTGGGACCCTTGAGTCCACAGGCCGACACTCTATCCACTGAGCCAAACCTGTCAGGGCGGATTTTATTCTTTTTTATGGCAGAGTAATATTCCACTGTGTATATGCATCACATCTTTACCAGATCACCTATTAACGGGCACTTGAAAGTGCCTGTAGTTAGTCCTATTTTTGGAACTGGGCCTGTTAAAATCCTGTTGGCCCCTAAATCTTCCCTGCTGCTATGATGATAAAAAAAAAATCTCAGGCAGAAAATGAAAAACAGCTGAACAGTGTCTCCTCCAAAGGAACATAAACAGGATACACTCATCAGCAGTTCCTTCCACCAAAGGAAAAGTTCTCTAACACTCACAGAGCGGTCGGCGGGACCCCGACCTACTGCCCTGCCTTCTGGAGAGGACGCGCTCTCCTCCCAGCAAGCAGGAAGGGCGGGGTCCTGGGAAATCAGACTAAAGGACGCGGAAGCTGCAGGGAGGGGCGTCCCCGCACCCCAAGGTGAGGGCTGTCTCTAAGCCTTGGCAGGGGCCCTGCCACGGTGAGCCTTTAGCAGCCCCTGGTACCTCTCCACATGCATTTCCATCCGTGTCTTCTTTAACTTGGCAATGGCGTGCTTTTATGATAGAGATTGACCTGTTCCTCCGGTGACTCCCGTGGGACAAAGTCCCATTTCTTAGTCTGGGGCCCAAGACCCTCGCCGGTCATGCCCTGGTCTCCTGCGGGACGACCAGCCCTCCCTCACCCTAAGTCCACTGCACCCCAGGTGGGACGCCTTTCCCTCCTGGTGTTCCCCACTGCTCTGTGCCACTTCCCTCACTGCACCTGCACCCTCAGGGCCGTGAATGTGACACGTTTGCCTTTTCCACCAGGCACAGACCCCTTGAGGCAGGGCCTGTTCCGGTCAGTGAGGCTGTCCCGCCCTTGGGAGGTACCTAACCCCTGTGTGTGGCCTGCCGCTGGATAATCAGACACACATCTGTCTCTGGATCTGAAAATTCGTCCTTAAACATTTTTATTTGGGGTCGAGCAATTTTAAAGCACAAATCACTCAAGAAGGGTCAGCATGTCAGCTAGCCAATCATTTCCTCTTTGGTGAGAGTGAGCGGGCGGCCAGCTTCCTGGGTGCTTGAGGTGTGGATGGGGTGTGACCCACTGAAAGCATTTTACCTGCTAACCATCCCACCAAGGGCCAACTACCCAGGACTCTGCCTGGGCCCGCTCAGAGCTGCCTCTGCCCCAGCCGGCCCTCCCCAGGAGCGGGGATGTTGGCGTGGGAGTCAGGTCACCGCTGGCCGGGCCTTGGGTGCTGAGCCAGCTCTGTCGTTCTGGCACCCTGAGTCCTGGGGCACCTGCTCTGCTCCCACAAAGAGCTCCCACTGATGCACCGGCGCCTGGGGAGGAAGCAGGCTCCTCCCACGGGTCTCCTGGTCCTGAGAAGCTATGTGACCCCCGAAAGCCCAGCAGTCTTTCTGAGCCTCAGTTTCTACAGGTCTAACCGGGGGACGAGGCCCTCCCCTGTGAGGGTGCCTGAGAGGGTGGAAGGGGACCAGGTGCGGTGAAGCTGGGATTTCACACGGAGTGCGCTAGTTCCCTTTCCTCCTTCCAGCCTCCGTCCCATCCCTCCTCTCCCCTTTCATCTCCCCCTCCTCCTTTCTCCCCCAGAGTCCTTGGAGCTTGGAGGTGTGGTTTGTGCATAGTTATGCATAGTTGCCCACCCCCTTCCCCAACTTCCATTGCAGGCATGCCGCTTGAAGACTTCAGCGCACTGTCAGCAGATTCCCAAGATGAGGAAAGTGTGCTCCCTGGCCTGAGGGGAGGGACACCATTTATTTGCACACTAGTGTGTATTGCATGCCCGTGTGTGTGTGTGTGTGTGTGTGTGTGTGTGTGTGTGTATGCATACTCCTGAATGAATGTGCACATCTCACTAAGTTGCTTTACTGGCTGGAGTGCTGGCCTCGCCTCTGCAGCAGCCAGTGCCAGCGCCCTCCTGGCGGCATCCGGCCTGGTCACCTTGGACAGCTCAACCCTGCAGTGTCCATGTCACACTGCATCGGACATGATGGGGCCTGGGGACCCAGTGGGCTGGAGCAGGCTGTTCTTCCATACATCCTCCAGGACAGTGGGCGGGCAGGTGGGGGGGTGAGGACCAGGGCAGGTGAGGGCGAGGAGGTGAGGGCACAGAGCCCACCTCCCACAGCCGGGTCTCAGCCAGCAGCCATGTAGAGGGCTGCTGACCAGCAGAGGAGGGAGGGGAGAGTGACCAGCGCTCCTCTTCCCCACAAAGGCACCTGCCAGGGGCCCCGGGCTCACCCCTCTCCCTAGAGCCTCTGTGAAGCAAGGCACACCTGCGTGTGGGTTCCGGGTGCACTGGACGGTGGCTGTGCTTACCAACCTTGAAGACGAGGCCATAGACCCATACGTTTTTCAAATCCTAAAGCGACGTCACAGCAGGGAGCAATGTTAGAAGGCGTTTCGTGTTTCCCAAACGTGTTCTGAGGAACTGCTGGTGCACGAATGCGTAGTAGGTCTTCTGGGAAGAAGTGGGGTCTCTGGCCAAATCCATCTGGGGAGACTGCATTCGCTTCCCTGCCCTCACACCTAAGGTCATGGCACACACCGGGCACTGAACGTGTGGGCCCTCAACATGCGGGCAGCCTGCACTGCTTCCCTAGGCTCAATATGCCATTCCCCAGACCTGTCTGCACGGCGCACCCTCTGTGTGGCTGGGTGGCACCTGGCAGTGGTGTTCTGTCGGGCACAGTTTGGGACATAGAGCTGTAGCCAAACCCTTTGTTTCACAGAGGAGGTGGTGGAGGGCCAGGCGCCTGGGCCGCCCCGGGAGCGGTTGCACCTGGGGGCCAGGTTCCTCTCTTCTCTGTCTCTCCCCGACAGCCCTGGCTTCCAGCTCCTGTGGTGGTGGCCGTTCCCCACTGTGTTCAGACCCATTAGCTGCCTGGGGAGAGCTGCCTGGGGCCCTGGTTGCACTGATGCAGCCCTCGGGGACCTGGGCCCCGGAGCTCCCGGTACCCAGGGAGCAGTTTTACTCGGAGCTGCTGGGTTTGGGGTGACTGCCGAGCTGCTGGGGTCTCAGGGGGATTCCTGTGAAAGAGGATGGTTAGCAGTTCATCTTTCTTTCCTGCTACTCATTGTAAGTTATGATTATTATTCAGGAAGCATTTAGAAGTGGTGCAATGAGGCACTTTTGTTAACTTATCTGTACGTACCAGACACCCGGTACCACGCATGGGCCAGGACACAGCACCGAGCACGTGGCATGTGTGTTAGGGCCCTCAGCCCAGAGAGTCGGTACCATGGAGGGATGTCTTCTAGAGGGACAAGAACGGTGAGGCCAGAGGTCAAGCAAGCTGTCCAAGTTCCTGGGCCAGGAAAGGGGAGCCAGGGCCCAAACCCAGGAGCTTGTGCTCCAGCGGCTGCTGCAGGGAGGACGGGTTCACTCGGTGCCTAAGGCTGTGTTTCCTGTAACCCGCTTCAGAGAACAGGGTGTCAGCCAGGGCGGCTGGGGCCACCATTCCACCCTCGGCTTTGTTTCTGAAGCTGGCGCCCCTTGGGAAGAGGAATGCTGGTCACCGGTCCCTCCCCCTCTGTGGGCCCAGGACCCGGGGCCTGTCAGTGCTGGGGCTGGCAGTGCTGGGGCTGGCAGTGCTGGGGCTGGCAGTGCTGGGGCTGGCAGTGCTGGGCCTGTCAGTGCTGGGGCTGGCAGTGCTGGGGCTGGCAGTGCTGGGCCTGTCAGTGCTGGGGCTGGCAGTGCTGGGGCTGGCAGTGCTGGGCCTGTCAGTGCTGGGGCTGGCAGTGCTGGGGCTGGCAGTGCCGCTGGAAGTGGGTGGCCCAGCCCCGTGCACCCGCACCAGCACGCAGGCTCTGACAGGACACGGTCGCAGCGCACGGTGAAAAGCCCGCCCTGGGTGGCATCTACTCTTCCCCAGACAGTGATGCTAATGCTGTTTGACTCTGGATGCTCAGTTATGTTTCAAATTTATTTCCTATCACTTAGAGGTGGATCAATGGAAGACAAAGGCGCTTCAGCTCAGTCACCTGCTGCTCCCCCAAATGTCAAGGACTGACATTTGATGCCATCGTCCCTGTCAGCATAGCCTGACTCATTTCTTGCTTCCCCAGCCCCCACCCCGCTCACACCCAGCAGGGACTCACACGTGCCCCGATGACAACTGCACTGCCCAGAGGACCCCGAATTTCCCCTGCAGACAAAGGCTGGCACCTGGGGGTCACCGTCCCTGGGAGGGGCCTCCCCAGCTGGGCTCCTCCTCTCCTCCCTCGCCCCAGCCCAGGGTTCCAGGCCACACGTGTGGCTTGGGCCGAGGGGGTGCTCTGGAAGTCTGCTTGGTGGTGAAGTCCTGGAGTAGGAGGAGGCGTTGGGGGAGGTGAGGTCTGTGCCCTCAGATAAAGTACTCCTTTCTGCTGCTGTCCCCAGCATCCTGGAGCGACGGGTCGCCCTGCAGGGCCGCGTCTGCGCTCTCGGCAAACTCCGTGCCCTTGTCCTCATGCGTGCGGTACGTGCCCTTGTGCCGGTACATGTAGTGCAGTATGAGCAGGAGCAGGCCGACCAGGAAGAAGGCCACGGCGGTGATCACTCCTGCAGAGGGGAGGGAACCACAGCTGTCTGAGAGCAGAGCACGAGGTCCTGCCACAGGGGTCCTGGCAGGACAGAGCCTGGCCCATTCCCGCCACTCTTCCTCCTGCCCCTGTGCCCTCACCCCTCCTCGGTGCCCATCTGAGTTGCCCCTCTCTCTCCTCTCCCCACCCGTCCCCTCGGGGCACTTTGCAGACCTGCGGGCATGGTTTGTAATTCATGTAAAGCAACTAACTATGTGGGTTTGCCTGAAATGGAGCGGTTCAGGGGATCAGAACTTGCCGGTTTTTTTAAACCAGGATTCCTGGGGCCTGGGACTTAAAGTGCTGGAAGCAGGAAGGTGCTGACACCGTGGAGCTGGCTGCCCGCTATGCACCATGGGGGGGGGAGGGAGGCGGGTAAGGCCAAGGGGATGGACCATGTAAGCTGGGGCCTCTGGGACACGTGGGCGAAGTGTGGTTTCACTGCTCCAGGCCCTGCCCACTTCCCCTGAGCCCCTGGGAGGTGGGATCTGGGAAGAGCCTGCAGGGAGCAGGGGTTGGCCAAGCAAAAGCCTAAAGGGGCGGGATCTTGGGGGACAGGTGCGTGAGTGCAGGGTGTGGACTCATTTGGAGTCAGGAGGGGAGAGATGAGGTTTGAGGGCTGGTCAGCAGAGCCAGGTCACAGGGGCCACAGGGTGACAGGTGAGCAGGGCTAATGGGGCCCCGGGGTGTGTGAGTCAGGCATTTGCTTTGAGGCCACAGAACAAGCCTCTGCTTGGCCTTAGAGGCAGGTTCATTCGTGCCCCTCGGGGGATGTTAGAGGCGCAAACTGTCCCCAAGTCCCCTGAGGAACAGTGTCCTAACCGTCCTGCTGCCCGCGGGACAGCACTGCTGTGCATGATGCCAACAGCACTGTCCAAGGAGGAGGAGGGTCAGGGTCAGTGGGCAGGTTACATAGAACTGAAAGCAGCCGGGACTGTGGGCCTTCAGTCTTCCTACCTGGGTGCAAAGTCCCCGAGCTGTTCACGAGCTGGGAGATGTGTGAGTCTCAGGGGGAACAGGAGGCTGCACTGCCCAAGCCCAGTCCTTCCTGAAGCGGTTTGGGGCCACAGACATGCCCAGTGGGTCACATTTTTTAAGGATGGAGGGATGGGGTGTGGGCCCAGGACATGGACTGGGGGGAGATGAGGACACAGAGGCGAGTTCAGGGAGCCCTGTCCATCCAGCACCCCCCACCCCTCTCGGAGTAGCTGTGTCCAGCCCCTGATCTCCGTAACTCCAGGGCCCTGTGCGCACCCTGCCGTGGGGCCCTCCCGCTCTCATCTCTCCCTCACCACCGGACACCTGTTGGGCACTTTCTAACGGGCCAGGCTCTTCCAGTCTCCACGCAGAGCCCCTGGGAGAGGAAGAGCATGCCCCGCCCGAACCCTCAGCTGGTTCTCCTGCAGACGCCGCCTCCGACCCTCCTGACCGCTGGGAGGGCCTGGGCCAGCTCACCTGCCATGATGGCTATGTCCATGGTGGTCCATGCCATCCCGGGGCCGGGCTCTGTGAACAGAACAGAGGAGCCCAAGTTGAGAGAGGAAGGTCCCCGCCACCAGCGGCGTCTCAGCCCAGCCCACACCCTCTGCCCACAACGCAGCAGCTCTGGGAGTGGCCAAGCAGACCAGAGACAGCATGTTGCGCGGGCCCCTGGCCAGGGCCGCTCGGCCCTGACGGTGCTCCGCTGGGCCCTGACGGTGCTGGAGAGCAGACCCAGGGCGGTCACCTCCGGGGCTGTGTGCAGTGTGAGGGTTGCATCTCTGACCGCAAGGGTGCCTGCACCTGCCGATGCTCCACACACATCTGCAGGGCACGGAGGTTGCCCACTGATGCACTTGGTACTAGCACCACCTCAGCTGTTCTCACAATGATGGTCAAACCAGAGCATCTGTGGCGTGTCCGCACGCGGACAGCTCGCCTGAGCCGGTGCCCTTTAGTGCGTTCTGTCTGTAATGTAACGTGCTCTTCTCAGCAGTCCCACAACACATGTGGTGTTATGAGCCCATTTCGCAGGAAGGACACTGAGGCTCAGAAAGTGACCTACCCATCCTCGCACAGCCTGTTCAGTGGCAGCCGGGACTGCGGGCTCTCACCTCTGGGGTGCACTCCCTTTTCTCTCTCTTGAAGCCCTTCCCTGAGGGCTCCCATCGGGAGATCCCTCCCTGAGGCCCCTCTACAGGTCTGCGCACCCCCCGGGGAAGGGCCCCTATGGCGCTCTCCTAGCTGCTAAGTGCGCTTCTCTGAAGCTCAGCGTCCGGCCAGAGGGCGAGGAACCTGCATGTGTCTCCAGCTGCTGCGCAGAGGCCTCCTCCCTCTTCTGGGCCGTGAGCGAGAGGAAGGATCCGTCAGAGCGTGGAAATATCCGTGTTCACGTGGAAATCCCAGTACAGCAATGACACATCTAAACAGAGGAGGCTCCTTCACGGCAGTCATTTCTGCTCAGAGCAGCATTTGAATTCTAGTGCAATGAGGTCATTTGTTTGCTGGGGGGTCTTTGATTACTGACTCAGTTTCATTAGCAGCTATGGGTCTGTTCCGTTTTGTTTCTTCCTCATTCAGTCTTGGAAGCTTGTATATTCTAAAAACGCATCCTTTTCCCCCAAGTTGTCCAATTTGTTGGCATATAATTGTTCGTAGTATTTTCTTATAATCACTTGTAATTATAATCCCTTATAATCTCTTTCATTTCTTATTTTGTTTTTTTGGGCCCTCTCTCTTCATTTGTTAGTTTTAATGCAGTTTCGTCAATGTGATCCTGGGTGAGCTGGGTGAGCCGCAGAGGCATTTGGCTTGAATCAGGTGGGGGACTTTTCTTGGTTCTGTTTAAGGACCGAGTACTCAAACCGATGAACCGGAACACCAGCCCTCCGGCAGGCCAGCCAGGCTGCGGGCTGGAGGGACCGGGACCTGAGGGATCACCAAGAGAGCCTCCAACATGGGCTCCTTCAAGGTCGTGCCCACCAAGAGGCCTGGTGGCAGAGCCGCTCTCTGTGCCCGCACCCTGCGGCTGTGCAGAGCTGAATTTGCTCCGGCTGCGTCATGTTACTGAGCCCCGGGTAGGGACCCTTCAGCACGACCAGAACTGCCACAGATGGGAACTGGAACAGGGGAGGGAGTTCTGCCCGTCTGGGACGGTGGGGATGGTACGAGACAGTGGTTCCTAAAGTGCGGTCACCAGAACAATAGCATTTCCTGGGAGCCCGCAGACATGCAAACTTTCGGGCTCCACCCCCGCTCTACTCTATCAGAAGTGCTGGGCTGGGCCGCCCTCTGTGGGAACAGGCCTTTGGGTGCTTCTATGTGCACAGGGCTGAGACGTGTGCAGGGCTGAGACATGCTGGTGGAAGAGAAGGCTTCCCAGGGGTGTCAGCAGATTGGCCCTGGAAGGACGAATAGGAGTTTGCTGCACAGACAAGAGTACAAACAGGCCAGGCAGAGAGCTCAGCGCTCGCACCAGTGCTCACCTTTACCTGCTTCTCAGCTTTCCCCCCAAATGTCACTCACTGTCCGTGATCTGTGACACGAAGGCTCCAGAGCCTGGGTTTGGATCTCTCGCCTCTGAGATCGGGGGTAAGCACCCTTGCTCAGCTGAGCACCCCTTGAAATCCTGAGTGAAAACCCACCCCCTGCTGGGTGGAAGGTAAGTGTGTGCTGGGGATTAGAGTGGTACTGAGCTCAGGAACTCGGGTGGGCTCCAGGGGCAGCCGTACGAGGTGCGTTTACAGTGGAGCAGGGTGTAATCTATGGCCAAGTGTGGATCTGGGATCAGACTGAGACACCGTCCAGGCCTGAGATTGGACAGGCACGAGAGGCCTCACCTTGACCTTCTGCAGAGACCCACTGAACCCTACATCTCTCCTTGCTGCCCCCCGCCTCCCCCCCCCCCAGAGAGGGGCTCCACCAATCCCAACACCACAGGGGCCTCGCCACAGCCCCACGCCCAGTGTCCCACGGGTGCCCACCGGACGGCAGCTGTTTTCTGCTACTTGAAAGCTTAGCCCTTTCTCAAGAACTGAGAGTCAGATTGCGCCACGTCACTGTGGTGGCAGCTCGGGTTCAAATCCTGGCTCAACCAACGTAACAGTGGGGCAGTCAGTAAAGTGTTTACTATCGACCACCTTTAGCTCCGTGCATGTGAAACAGGGGTTGTGGTACCTGCTTGTCCTAGGAACAGGAAATGAGCAATGCTTTCTCTGTAACGCAGACAGTGGTAACCACATGCACACAGCTCAGAACAGGGGTTTATCACTGTGGGCACTGCGATTCTGAGTCTTATGAACACTCCTGTTTGCATCGCAAAGCTGGTCACCTACGCAGCCAGATGACAGGCCTGTGAGTCCACACAGGGCATGGACGCTGTCAGGCCCCAGCACTGCCCGCTGACAGGGAGACAGCACCTGGTGCCTGGTGGCCCTGGGTCCCCACGTGGCTGCAGGGAGCAGGGCAGGTCCCAAGGAATGGGCAGCGGGCCTTTGACCTCAGGGGCTATGGTCTCCCTGGGAGGTGCGACTGTGGCCTATGAGCTTTAGTTAGGGCAGTGCTTGTCACACAGTGAGTCTCAATCCACTTCTGGGTCATAGGGGGAGAGAGAGAGAGAGAGAGAGAGAGAGAGAGAGAGAGAGAGAGAGAGGATGAACGAGGAGGGAGAGGGACACACAGAGAGAAAATAGCTTAGGAGGCGTGAGGACTCCCCTGCGGTCGGGGGACTGTTAGGTAGAGCTTTGATCTTACTAGTACACACACAGGGACCCGAGTCACAGTGTGAAGGGTGTTTCCAGGGTCATGCTCACCATCGTGTTCGGGACATTAACACTATAAGAGGAAATACATCAAATCCTTAGCCCCACAGTGTTTCATAAAAGAAAACTCAACTAAGAGATCAAGCAACGAGCAGGCAGGGGGAGAACTAAGCAGAGGAAAGCTGATGTGGTGACGCGGCCAAGTGGCTGAGTTGTGCCACACTCTGGCTTCCGAACCCCAGAGGTGAACGCCCAACACAGCCTCGCCACAAGGCCAGGGCTGGGCCACACGGCCAAGTGCAGGGACCACCGAAGCTTCCCGCGAGCTGGTGGATGAGAGGGAAAGGGAAGGGCTGACCTGCTCCTACATGCACACCTCCCACAGGGCACAGGGGAAAGCGGAGGCAGGTCAGTCATGGAGGCCTCAGGAAATCCCAGGTGTGGGAAGAGCACACCTGAACCATGGCAGTGAGGGGACAGGTCCTGGAGGAAGAGGAGGAAGAGGAGCAGGAGGAAGAGGAGGAGGAGGAGGAGGAGGAGGAGGAAGAGAGGAGGAGAAGAAGGAGGAGGAGCAGGAAGAGGAGGGGGAGGAGCAGGAGCAGAAGGAGGAGGAGGAGGAGGAGGAGGAGGAGCACTGTGTTGGTTCTCTGTGCATTTCCTGGGCGAAGGCCCTGGGCGAGGCTGCCATTGAAGCTCCTCATTTAATCCTACAGCAAGCCAGCAGAGGGAGGGTAGTCCTTTCTTTAAGCTACAGCAGAGGAAGGGTAAGCTACAGATAGTGAAACGCTTGCCCAAAGAGCTCAAGCAACTTGCAGAAATCTCACCACCAAAAAAGGGCAGAGCCCGCGGTTCAGCCCCGGTTCCCTAGCACAGTAGCACCGCAGCACAGCCCGGGCTGGGAACGCTCTCCCTGTGCAGCCTGCAGTTTGGCTGTAGCCCCATCCCTGCTGGTGCTCCCGTCCTCGGGTCAGCAGTCCTTGGGCGGCGGCAGGCACACGGTGCTGCCCTCCATGGGGGTGACATCCCCGCTCCAGGGGGCGGCCTGGGCGCAGGGGACAGAATGAACTTTCGCAGCTGGATCCTGGGGGGTAAGGGGGGTCACTGTTTCTCAGATGCTGACAGAGAGCAGTGGTCAGGCCTGGCCCCAAGGACACAGACTGACCCTTCCCTTGTGTTTCTATCCTCACACCCCTCCCCCACCTCAGATGGCCTTTCCTTGGGCCTCAGGGGTGGTGGAGAAAGCGCCCATTCCCCGTTTCCCAGCCACTGGGCCAGCCTGAGCCAGGGCTCCAGGCTCCCGGCAGCGAGTGCCTGTGGGTTGGGAGTGAGGAGGGCCTCAGGCAAGGAGGTCTGGTGTTCGGGAAGAAGACAATTATTAGCCTTAAAACATGAAGGGAAACAAGGTTGTGGTGGAATCCTTGGAGAGTGCCCGCCTGACGTGTGTCCAGGAGAGCTGTGCAGCGGCAGCCACCTGTCTCGAGGCTCTGAGAGGAAAGGCCGCCGGCAGCGGCCACGCCATGGGGTCTGTGTGTTCGGGAGGAGCACAGCTATGGGGGGGGGGGGCAGGGAAAGTCCCCCTGAGCGCTCATTAAGTTTCTTGTTCCTGCTCTCGATTCTGGCCTTGAAGTTCTTATGAAAGTGAAGTAGAAATCACTTGACATTTGAAGTTTATTAACTGCCTTTTCTTCTTGGTAGAAAAAAGGTCAAATGCATTTTCTTTCCTTGCATGGTTTGTTGTTATCATGCCCTGAAAAGATGTAGCATTC